TATGCATTTTTGTTGGTAAAAATTAGCAATGTCTTTTCCTGAAATGACAATGACAGACCGGAAAATTCAGAATGTGGACAATTTCTTTGCTAAAAAAAAAAATAGAGTTTGTGTAATTTTGTGTAATACACCTGGCTAGTATAGAAGCTGACATCAAATACATATAAGCCATGCTTATACATTAACAATGTTTTGGAATTGTGCTTAAATCTTTCAGATTTTAGAGTTCAAGTATTTATATTTTCTCTTATTCTACCTTTCATTAGCAACATGAAATGGAAAACCTGAAGCTAAGTTTTTTTTAGTGATTTGCCAAAGTCTACAATGTATCCAGGACAGGGGGAAGTTAATATTAACTCCTCATTCTTAGCTATTAGCTGATCTATCTGAGGAAAGAGCAGCGTGTTTTTCTCACTCAGCCTGGTTTCTAGGTGGATTGAATTTCAGCGACCAATTTCATGAATCATTTTGTGTGAACTTGTGTGTAGTGTTCTGACTTGAATTCTTTATGATATTTTATTTGTGTAATTCGAGTTCTGCCTGCGCATAGCAATGATATATCCTTTTCCCTAATCCTAAAATCTAGACAACAAAAATTAGGAGAGAGTCAAATTTAAAATTCAAATTATACCTACTTGCAAAATGGAAGGCAGAATAAATGATAGAAGCACGATATTGGAATATTTTAAGCAAGATTTTGTGCTAAGTTACGGCAGCTAGGGGACAGTAAAAATTGATGCACCAATGCTTGCACGTCAAACTGGTGTGGCAATTACAGTTCTACTTAGCAATGGCACATAAATGCCGAAGCTGAAATCTACAACTATAAATAAAATTGATGTGCACTTGGATTGCTTCTCTTGCTCCATCTCCTATAAGAAAATGTATTTGGAGGTGATAAGTGCTGGGTAGTTTCTTCTTGAATGTGTACATGCTAACTATAATTTTTTTTCCCCTCTGGAAAGTGATAAATATCGAGTCACATGTCAGAAATGCATTTTTTTCCTAATTTTTATCACATATATATTGCCTTTGTCTTTCATACAACAGAGAATATTGTCATTTTACTCTTTCACAATAACCATTGGTGGCATGTACCGGAAGCTGATGTTTCTCTGGGTACCAAAATGAAGGCATATTTTAGATGTCATTTGACAAACATGGGAAAATAATAGGGATATTGACTTGATAATATTTGCCCCATTCAAGAAGAACGTCCACTACTTTATGTTGGCCAGATGCTATCACGTTGAAATATGAACCAGTTATCATCAGATATTCACCTTTAAAAGGAGGAAGAAGCATTAACATTTGTAATGTGAACTAATCCAAAATGTTAAAAATCACTATGTAGGACAGATAAAGTGTGTTAGGAGGCCAGCACTGCGCTAGCATACAGGCTTCCAGTCAGAGACCTGTTCCGGTGGACATGATCACGCTGCACCTCAGCTAAGACCGTGGTGTGGGTCTGCTTCTCAGTGCCCTTTGCTCTTTCACTGTCCCGCTGGCACTAAGAACATTCCCGAAGCTCTCCCTGCTTCTCTAGAGATGAAAGCTCTGTCGCTCACCAAAAGAGCTACCATTTGTCCTCTGTGTTTTCCCCACCTGCTGTCTTTGGTGGCTCTTCTCCTTCTGTCCTGCACACAGCTTCCAGTACCATTAGGTAAGCGCTAACTAAGTAAGGCATCTCATTGCATGGAATCCTGATTCTTTGAACTTACAGGAAGCAACATGGATCACCTATTTTCCACACTCCTCCTTAAGGAATAAAGGGTTTTTTTTTCCTTCTCTTTGTTCTGCATCTCAGCATCCACAACACACCTGGCAAGTGAATTTAGATAGAATCAACGTATTAATAGAATTGTGCCATTTTATTCTTCCATTTTGATTCCTTCATGTGAACTTGTTTTTAATGGAAATTAGGTGAAACAAACATATACCTAATATCACTTGAAGTACGTAGGTCCTTAACTATGGGTGGGAAATTATTCTCTTTAGAAAAATATATTCACAGAGCTACTTTATTTTAATAAAACAATATGCCAATAAGTTTGAAAGTATAAACCCCAGATTTTCTATTATATTTTGTAGATTTTGGGGGCAACTTTTTCTTAATTCTACTTCCCAGAAAACTATAATGGAATCAGATTATCTAACATATTCTTAAACCAGAAACACCTGTTGCTTAGCTTATCAGATGTCTAGCCTTGCATGACAAGTGCCATTATGGGAATGGGAAGCCACATTGTACACCCTATATGTGTGATGTAATTTATAAGAGGTATAGTTGGGAACAAGATGCCATGAAATAATTTTATACTTTAAGAGATTAGAAACTGATTATTTAAAATTATTTAACTCACTGTAAAAAAACAAACTTAATTCTTACTATTCTGTTCACATAAGAAGAGCAATATACTCACTAGATTCTTTTGTCTTATGTGCATTAGTGTTTTGCCACAGGTTTTGGATCCCCTGGAACTATAGTTACAAACTGTTGTGAACTGCCATGTGGGTGTTGGGAGTTGAACCCAGGTCCTCTGGAAGAGCAGCCAGCACTCTTAAGAACTGATCCTTAAGCTGGGCCATGGTGGCACACACCTTTAATCCCAGCACTCACACTCAGGAGGCAGAGGCAGGGGGATATCTGTGCATTTGAGGTCAACCTGGTCTACAGAGTGAGTGCCAGGACAGGCTCCAAAGCCACACAGAGAAAACCTGTCTTGAAAAAAATAAAAGACCTGAGTCATATCTTCAGCCCTTGATCATTCTTTTTTTTAATTGATTTTTTATTGAGCTCTACATTTTGATTATTCTTACTAATAATAAATAATTTAAGATATCAGATCTCAAAAATAGTACTAATAACTTAGACATAAATACAAGTGTGACATTTCAACGTTGTGTAATTCCAAACACATGCATTCTTGTAAAGCCAGCTGAACAGACCCCCATTTCCTCTTTCGTTCCAAGTTCATATTATTTTATTCATGGTATGCCTGAATCTTTAAGTCAGTTTCATAAACTTTTAAACTTTTATTTTATTGTTTAAATCATTTTCCATTTTATTGAAAAGGAGATTTTTTTTTCCTACAGTATATCCTGATTATAGTTTCTTCTCCCTCTATGTCTCCCAGTTCCACCCCACCTCCCCTTCCCTCTGGAGAACAAAATAAAATGAAAAAAAAACATCAAATAGAATTTGGATAAAACAAGCCAACAAAAGGAAAAGAACCCAAGAGAAAGCACAAGAATCAGAGACCCCCCCTCATGCACATATTCAATTTAATATTTATTTAATATTTAAAATATTAAATTAAACACTCCAATATATACACAGAGGACCTGATGCAGACCCGTGCGGGCCCTGTAAGTGCTGACTCAGTCTCTGTGAGTTCATATGAGCTTTGCTCCTTTAACATAGAGGGCCTTGTTCTCTATGGGTCCTCCCTTCCCTCTGACTCACACACACACTTTTCTGTTTCCTCTTCTGTCAGGTTCCCTGAGCCCTGAGGGGAGGGATTTGGTGAGCAAATCCCATTTAGAGCTGTGTGTTCCAAGGTGTCTCTCTCAAATGTTCCAAGGTCTCTGTCTCTGTCTCTGTCTCTGTCTCTCTCTCTCTCTCTCTCTCTCTCTCTCTCTCTCTCTCTGTGTGTGTGTGTGTGTGTGTGTGTGTGTGTGTGTGTGGTATAGCAGAATATCATTAGGGGTCATTTTATCACTGTTTTTGTTTCTTTGTTTTTGTTTTTTTTTTTTTTAATACTGATACGATTTGGTTTTACCCGAGATCTCTGGGCTGTTTAGTCTCTGGTTCTTGATCATACACACAATGTCTGATATGGGGTTCCATCTTGTGGAGTGGCCTTAAGTCCAATCAGATGTTGGTTGGTTGCTCCCACAAGCTTTGTGCCACCGTTGCCCTAGCATGTTTTGCAGAAAGGATAGCACTGCAAATCAAAGGCTTGGTAGCTGGTTTGGTGTTTCTGTTTCTCTTTTGGTAACCTGCAGAGTACCTTTCTGTATCAAGACACTAGAACCTAAGAGTGAAGGTTCTCTGCTCACTCTCTCCATGTTCAGTGAGTTGTGATGGTGTTTGTCAATAGATTCTTGCTCTCGGTTTGTGGAGATCACCCTATTGTCTTGGCAGCAGCCTGGGTTGGTGGGGAACTTCCATGGGATGCTCGTTAGTCCGCAATGCAACTGAATGTAACTAAAGTCCCAGTACGGGTAGCTTCACTGGGTGACACGGATGGCCAATTGGGATTCTGTCTTCTCCATTATTTGGAAACTTCATTAGGATTGCCTTCATGTGTTTTATGAGGTTTCTACTGAAATAAGTTTCCGTACTCCTCAAATGCCCCTCAATTTTAATTGATGTTCCTTCATTCCCTCCTTAAACTAATCTCCTCTTCTCCTACCCACACTCTTCCCTGTTCCCACATCTTCCTACCCCTACCCCCAGTCCACCCATAAAATTAAATAAAGCTACCAGTCACAGAGTTTTATGATGAGACAAATCCATGTCCATTTGGGTCAGTCCAATGTAGTCACAAAAGCCCTTAGAAGCTGAAGATTATATCAGACTGGTGGTGGTGAGAAAGAACTGCGGCTGAATGAAAGAAGAAGACATGAGCAAAGGAGGGTGGCCGCTTCTAGAAGCTTCCAAAGACAAAGGAATGAGATCTCCCATAGGGTCTGCAGAAACGAGTTGATCCCTTGCAACACTTGTCAATACACAGTGAGGCATATTCAGAATTTCCGAGCCTCTTATGTATTAAACTAGATTGTGTCATTTTAAATAGCTATATTTTCAATATTTTGTTTTGACAGCCAAGCACGAGGAGGAAGCCCATGCTACCTCTGCTCCTACTCATCCTTCCTTTCCTTCCCCGCTTTCTTCCTCTTTTCTCAATTATCTGTCCCTGAAATTACATTAATAAAATAATTCATTTTTCAGTATTTTATAAAGAAATGGTCAGTCTGTTTATCTGTCATTTCAGGAAGCAATCCATAGCAGTCAAGAGATGAGAAAGAATGAACAAGAATTCTATAAAGCACATGGAACCGATGTCTTCAAAACAGAAACGGTAATTACTTAGTAACACACACAAAAAAAAAATTCAAATGGTCTCCAGGACTGTGTAGGATTTTTTTACTTTTCTGTAAACATATGCTTTTACTGTGTGTACTTAGGATAAATATACAACAGTGTGTCTAACCCTACTTTCCCGTTAGAACTATTTTGAAAAATGAAACAAGCTGCCTAAAAATATGCCTGCAGTTAGGTGTTGTTCGCATATGTTCTGTTATAACTTGAGTACACATTAAAACAAACAATAGAAATAGTAGCTGACCTCCCTCAACATGTACCAAATTCTCAGAAGAAAAATACTGCAAAATGAAGATTATTTTCAGTACTCAAATCACTGACTTCTTAAAAACAATTACTTTTTTTAAAATTGTCTTTCGAAACAGATGTCACATCTTGAAAAGCACACTGAGGAAGTAAACCAAGCTTCACAGCTCCGTCAGTATGTACAAGAAACAGGTAACAGTCTGGCACAATTGGGTACACTTGACCTTTGCCCTTTCTGAGTATGTGGGTTTGGAGGACTTTCTTTCAGAAGTCAGTCCTCCCCACCAAGGAACTTTAGTAGCTGTGAGTCATGCTCCCAAAGGGGGCAAGATTGCATTTCTGCATATAATAAGATTTTGCGTGTGTTAGTACATGTAACATATTTTAAAATAGCTCATTGCCCATCAGACCTATAATAAATTCATTCTAAACTCCAGAAAGGTAATAAGCTAACCACTACTGAAATTTTTTATACCTTGGAACCTAGAATACACTTCATTGCCTATGAAGCACCCTGACAATAAAATTAAGGAAATAATAGGTCAATTCTCCACCCACAGTTGGGGGTCAGGTTATGAGGAAATTGGTAGATGTTTGCAGATGATGAGATGCAGCTGTCCACTCTTACAGAGCGGGAATGGCTTTCATCTGGTAAGATGAAAGGAAAGATTGCACCCCTGCTGTGGCCTAAACAATATTTGTTTCTTGCTACATAACAAATGCAGCATTCTTCTTGCCAAGCTCAGTGGTGCATGTTCATGTTTGTAATTCTGGCCTTTAGGGGGCTTAAGCAATAGGACTGCTGCAGGTTCAAGGCCAACACAGGGTACATAATGAGATGTAGGCTACAGAGCAAGAATTTTTATCAAACTATCCAAACAAACAAACAAGAAAAATGGCCTATCTTTTTTTCTTTAAAATGCATTATTTTTTCTGCATCTATAATTTAAAACACAGTTGTAGAAATTCTGAAAATATTTTTATCCAGAGATAACCACTCCAAATAATTTTAAAGTTTATTTTTATTTATGTGTATTATGTGGTGTTGTGTGTGTGTGTGTGTGTGTGTGTGAGAGAGAGAGAGAGAGAGAGAGAGAGAGAGAGAGAGACAGAGAGAGAGAGACAGAGACAGAGACAGAGAGAAAGAGAGCGAAACACCCAGAGGCCAGAGGACCCCATCAGATCCACTACAGTTGGAGTTCCAAGTTGTAATGATCTGCCCAACATGGTGCTGAGAACTAAACTTTGGTCCCCTGTAAGAGCAGCAAGCTCTTCTAACTGCTGTACCATCTCTCCTGCTTCACATACAAATTTTCTTTTCTGTGTTTCTTCCTTAATAATTCTTGCTTCACTTCAAAATCAATGGATGAAATAATGCCATGTGCATAAATGTGTCCTTTGAGTCTTGTTCGCTAATTTTCATTATAAGGCGTTTAATGCAGCATGGTGTTTTCATCTCAAATACCATTTTACTCATTATGTAGTATCCCTGGTATCTGTGTGTTTTTGTAGTCATTGATACACCCGAGGATGAAGAGATGCCTAAGGTTTCCACAAAGATTTTGAAAGAGCAATTTGAGAAGTCTGCCCAGGAAAAGTTTCTCTACTCTGACAGAGAAACCACAACTCCATCCAGGTGCATAAAGGTATGATATACTCTCTATACATTAGGGTTAAAAATGTGTAAATATACTTGAGGTTTTGTGGTGTTTTCATAACAAAATAATCCGAACTAGCATTTATTCTATCTCAAAAGGAGGATATTCATCTATGAGGTAGAGTGAGAAGTCCCACCTACTGGAGAATATGAATGAAGAAAGTCATATATATTTTAAAGTCTATAAACTAATATCAAGTAAAGTAACTAAGTCAATTTTAATTGCCAGATAGTTACATGTTTTATTTTAAATGATAAAAAACCAAAAAACTAACAAAGTACCTCAAGACCTCTTCTGCCTCCATCGATTACTCTACACATCAATTGAAGAGGGGCAAATTAAGCGTATGTAAACCAGGCATAGTGTCGTATTCCTCTAATCCCAGAATTTGAGAGGCAGAGGCAGGTAGATCTCTGTGAATTCCAGGCTCGCCAAGGCTACAAAAGAGAACCTGTGTGTGTGTTTATATATATATATATATATATATATATATATATATATATATATATATAATGTGTAAGTATGTGTTAATGCTCAAATGCTGAGTCAATGATACCTTGATGGAAGAATATTATTATTAAAAACAGAATGATATTTACTAACCCATATTGAGTATTCTCCCAAGTAGGTTTAAGCACAGTTCATACCTGTTTTCCAAGGCAGGCATCACAGCGGACCCTTGTATATGGACAGGTGAAAGGTAGGGCCCAGGAAATCTCCGTACTACAGACATCGTTATAAGCCTTGATTTTCTCTCCTTTAAAGATTGAAAATGACAGTGAAGAATCCTTAAAGCCATCATCAGCTGTGGGTACCTCTTCTTCTTACACTTCAACCAGCCAGAGGAAGGAAATCTCAACCTCAAGTTATAGTAATCACAGTGTCACTTCAACATCCCTGGCACAAGTTAATGGCGCTCCTTCAGGGAAGACGGAAGAATTTCCTCCTCCCCCACCTGACGTACTTCAGACACCAATGGATAAGACAGCATTTTCCCAGTCCCCTGAATTCCCCAGTCCCCCTAGAGGACTACCAATCCCCAAAGATTTATATACCAAACAACGAAATTTGTATGAATTAAACCGTTTATATAGACATATCCATCCCGAGTTAAGAAAAAACTTAGAAAAGGATTACATCAGTGAGGTTTCTGAAATTGTCTCTAGCCAGAAAAACTCAGGAAACTCCGTTTCGGCAGATGTGCAACAAGCTCGGTATATTTTTGAAAATACAAATGACAGTTCTCAGAGAGATCCGAACCAAGAAAGCCTGGAATGGGATGAAATTCTGAAAGGAGAGGTGCAGTCCATGCGATGGATTTTTGAGAATCAACCATTAGATTCTATCAAAAATGGCTCTGCAGACGAAGGGTCCACTTTCAAGGGCGCTGCTGACCAAGAACTCATTGCTGGGGGTGATGTGAGATACACGACTTGGATGTTTGAGACTCAGCCAATAGATGCCCTAGGGGTTCCTTCTACTGGCACTGAAGGAAACACAGAGAAAATTCCTGAGCTAGCTAGAGGAGATGTTTGCACAGCAAGGTGGATGTTTGAAACAAGGCCTTTAGACTCAATGAACAAAATGCACCAAAGTCAAGAAGAAACAGAATATACTGCTATAAATGACATAACTGGGGGAGACGTTAAGACTGTGAGGTACATGTTTGAAACTCAAAACCTGGATCAGCTTGGGCAGCTTCACTCTGTAGATGAAGTTCACTTATTACAACTCCGATCTGAGCTCAAAGAAATTAAAGGAAATGTTAAGAGGAGCATAAAGTGTTTTGAAACTCAACCACTCTATGTCATCAGAGATGGTTCAGGCCAAATGCTAGAAATTAAAACTGTGCAGAGAGAGGACATTGAAAGGGGGGACGTGAGAACAGCACATTGGATGTTTGAAACACAGCCTTTGGACGCAATTAGCAAAGATATCACAGAAATTAAAGTTGTTCGAGGAATATCCATGGAAGAAAATGTCAAAGGTGGGGTGAGTAGAGCAAAGTGGTTATTTGAAACTCAGCCCCTGGAGAAAATCAAAGAAGAGTCAAATGAGGTTGTCATTAATAAAGAAGCCATCATAGGTACAGATGTTTCTAAGAAGTGCTGGATGTTTGAAACACAGCCGTTAGACGTTCTAAAAGAAGTCACTGATGCAGATACTACATCACCTGAAGAGAGAATAGGAGGTGACGTAAAAACCACCAAGCATCTATTTGAAACGTTTCCAATAGAAGCTTTAAAAGACAGTCCTGATGTAGGAAAGCTTCAAAAAATCACTGCCTCTGAAGAAGAAAAAGGAGACGTTAGGCACCAAAAATGGGTTTTTGAAACTCAACCTTTGGAAGACATTAGAGAAGGTAAGAGGGAGTACACGAGGACAGTGAGGCTAGAAGCAGTTGAGAGAGGTCAGGTAAAGAACTACACGCATATCTTTGAGGCCAATAATTTAACTAAGGTTGATGCATCACATAAAAATGAGGTGGAAGGAGTACCCAGAGGCACTGTGGAGTTGAATAAATCTCTCTTCGAGACAATCCCACTGTATGCTATTCAAGACCGTCTTGGAAAATACCATCAAGTAAAGACAGTTCAGCAGGAAGAAATCCTCACAGGAGACGTAAGAAGCTGTAGGTGGCTTTTTGAAACAAGGCCCATTGACCAATTTGATGAAAGTCTTCATAAATTTCAAATAATTAGAGGAATATCTGCTCAAGAAATCCAAGCAGGGAGTGTGAAAACTGCTAGATGGTTGTTTGAAACTCAGCCTCTTGATTCATTTAAATATTTTAGTAATGAGGAGGAAACAGAAAGCAAAACTGAACAAACTACAAATGTTGTTAAAGGAGATGTCAAAACCTGTAAATGGCTCTTTGAGACCCAGCCAATGGAGTCTCTTTATGAAAAGGTTTCCTTGGCGACAAACACCGAAGATATTCATAAGGGTGATGTTAGAACCTGTACCTGGCTTTTTGAAACGCAGCCACTTGATACTATAAAAGATGACTCAGAAGCAACAATCAAACTACAAACTGTAAAGCAGGATGAGATACAAGGTGGGGATGTTCGGACAGCATGTTTTCGCTTTGAGACAGAAAATCTGGACAACATACAGGGGAAGGAAGGGAAAGAAAACAAGCCTGTGGAGGTGGATATACAAGCTGGCGATGTCTCTGGTATGAAGTATAAGTTTGAGCACCAGTCCTTAGGTTCTATCAGTTGCAGTTCAGAGGATGTTTTGAATAAGATCAAAACCCTAAAAACTGAAGACATTCAGAAAGGCAATGTGTTAAATTGTAGGTGGCTATTTGAAAACATACCCATTGATACGATAAAGGAAAATCAAGAGGGTGATGGATTGGTTAAGACAGTGACAGACATACAAGGAGGAAATGTGAGAAAGGGGTGCTTCATTTTTGAGACGTTTTCTTTGGATGAGATTAAAGATGAATCCAATGATGTACGCATCAGGGAAACGAATAATGAAGAAGTCATCAAAGGTGATGTGAAGAGCTACAGAATGCTCTTTGAAACACAGCCGCTCTATGCAATTCGAGATCAAGAAGGGTTTTACCACGAAGTGACTACTGTTAAAAAAGAAGAAGTAATTCATGGAGATGTACGAGGAACGAGGTGGCTCTTTGAAACAAAACCATTAGACTCAATTAATGAATCAGAAGATGTGTATGTTATTAAATCTGTCACCCAGGAAGACATTCAGAAGGGGGACGTGAGTTCTGTCAGATACAAATTTGAGACTCAACCCCTGGATCGGATCTCAGACGAATCACATGGTATTGTGCACACTGTGGATTCTATTCAAGGAGGTGACGTGAAGACAAGCAAACAATTCTTTGAGTCTGACAATGGTGACAAGAAGAAATATGTAAGAACAGTGAGTGTCAACGAAGTGCAAAAGGGCAATGTTAAGACTTCTACTTGGCTCTTTGAAACTCGCAGCATAGATGAACTGGGAGCAGGGTCTGGATACGACACCATCAAGACTGTCACCCAGGAAGAGATGCGGAAAGGTGACGTTAAGAATGCAGTGTGGCTCTTTGAAAATCAAGCATTGGATTCTATTAAGGAAGTAGACGAAAGTGATGCAAAAATGACCAAAGAAGAAATTCCTCCATCAGATGTCAAAACAACTACATGGCTCTTTGAAACAAAACCTATTCATGAATTTAATGAAACAAGAGTAGAGAAGGTAGAAATTATGGGCAAAAGCATTAAAGAAACTCTGGAAGACCTCTACTCTCAGAGAGTTATTGAAGCTCCTGGAATTATCATTGAAGCTGATGAAGTTGGCGATGTCCGAATGGCAAAATACAAGCTCATGAACCAAACAGCCCCAGAGATACAGAAAGAAGCAGCTATCAGGGCTGATCTCAGAAGCATAATGATAAATTTACTTTCCCAAAGGGACGGTAAAAAGAAAGAGATATGTGTCAGTGAAGAGGAGAAGGGAAATGTCAATTTGACTAAAACTCAATTATTAAACAGATCAACTGAATTTCATGCTGAAAAGGAAGAGATAGTGAGAGGGGATGTTAAACAAGCAATAAAAAAGCTGTTCTCGGAGGAAAAACACACAAAGAAAGGCATCTTAATTCAGGAAGATGAAAAGGGAGATATCAACATGACTATCTACTGTCTTCTTCATGAAAATGCCGGTGACAAGACTGAACGAGAAGACATAATAGGAGGTGATGTGAGAGGCGCCATTCATAACCTGCTATCTTCTCCATCAAATGGTAAAATACCTGAAAGGACAAAAGTCGGTGCCTCAGAGAGGGGAAACGTTCAGTTCTTCACAACATGCATAGAAACCGGAGCTTTGGATTACCTCAAACAACTTCAAGCAGGGACGAATGAAACACTCACAGCCAGGGAACAAGAGGGAGAGGGAGACATAATCAGGTGTGATGTGGAGGACACAAAACTGTTATTAAAGGAAGGGCAATCTCTGGTTGAACATACCGTTCATGAAACTGACATCATCCCAGGAGAAGTGCACAATACAGTTAAAGTCCTCATGGCTGGATCTCAGGGTTCATCTTCCAAGACACAGAAAGAAGAGACTATAAAAGGTGATTTGAACTCAACCCTAAACTCTCTCAGCCAGGTCATGAATCAGAAAACAGTGTCGGAAGCAGATGAAATTGTAAACTGTGACAGGTTGACCACACTAGAGTCACTTAAGGAGTCAAGCCACAGACAGAAAGAATCTAAACAATCTGGTGGCATCTCTGGTGATCTTGAGCAAGCTATTGCGTGCCTTGAGAAGGCTACAAATACAAGGACTGAAATACTGAAAAAAGAGATGATGCTAGATGACCTTGAAACATCATTAAGGTCTTTGAAAGAAGCACAGCAGTGTTTCAAAAAGCTGGATAGAGCAGGGCTAATCAAAGAAGATGCACTGGGATTCGCAGAACGACAAAAAGTAGGGATTCGTCCAGCTACTGTCCAGAGAGACAAAAAAAGTCTTCTCCAACCAATGCCAGGACCATTTGAGCCAGCAACCAGGCAGCAAGCAGGACCAGGCCCTCTCCATGAAACCATGCAGCAATCGTACAACCAGCCTTCAGTAGAAGAAAGATGTGAGGTTCATCTTTCCAGAGCCCCGAAGGGCGCTGTCAAGATTGTTGTTGATCGGGAACAAAACAACGACGCTCTAGAGAAAAACCTTAGGAAGATGTCTAATCCAGAGCACAGAGCTGTGAGAAATGCTTTAGACATGGGTGACAGAACTGGCATCTGGACTGAGAGCAGAGAATATCTGCGTGGTGGTAACAATATGAGCAAACAGTTAACTACAACCCTGGCAATGAAGGAAAATGTAAAAATCAAGGAATCAGAAAATGTGAGAGAGTCAAAGGATGCTATCTTTAACTTCTCTCAGTCTGTAGACAAAATGTTTAGAAAGCAGCAGACTCAATCTTGTGAAGTACAGAATGATTACCAGAAGTCTCAGTCCTGGGATTCCTATGGGAAGAGTCAAAATAAAATGAAAAATGTGAATATATCACCAGGGGCACAAAGTTATATGCCAGATCCCACCCAGCATCCCACCAACAAGACAGCTGAAGAGATGCATGGGGCAACCAGAAACTCTTGGGAGCAAGCCTTGCTAAGTCAGGAAACATGGTATTCTAATAAAGATATGAAGAAAAATGATGGGAGTCTTCAACCTTTACCTGCAGGTAAGGATGTCCACGGACTAACAGGAATGAGAGTCTCTGGAAAAGGCCACAAAAAATTTCAGGCAACTGACAAAAACCAGAAAATTGATGTTCGTCTAGAAAGCCAGGACTTTCTAATGAAGACAAATACTTCCAAAGAGTTGAAAATGGCAATGGAGAGGTCCCTTAATCCAATCCACCTTCGCCCTGAGTGTCATGTGAAAGAAAATGAGGACTCTCTTCCACCTCCATCTCCTCCTCCTCCTCCACCTTCCAATGCATCATCCGAAATTGAATTTCCTCTTCCCCCTCCACCACCTTCAATGTTGTTGCCTGAAAAGAATGAGTTTCTTTCCTCTTCATCCACAGAGAAGACAAGGACTGAATTTGAAAATTTCCCAAGTCTCCCTCTCCCTCCACCACCAGTAGATGAGAAATCAGAAGGAGAACGTCTGTCAGCATCCCTTCCTCCTCCACCTCCTCCAACTCCATGGCAAGCAGCACAGCTTCTACCCCCCTCTGCCCTAGAAAATCGTAGTGAATCACTTTGGCAGCAGCATTCCCAAACAGAATCCTCAAGCTCTCGGCAGATTCACTCTCAGGCTAAAACCCTAACAGGAAAAACACCACCTCCTACACTCCCCAAACCCAAACTTCCCAAAAGAATTAAAGATAAAATCAGTCAGCAGTACCCAAATGGCGAATTGGGAAAATCTGTGTCAGATGTGGAAATGAAAACCATCCTCCCGAAGGATCAGGAAAGATCAGGGGTGGCAGTGAGCAGTGAGCATACTGAGACAAAGCAGGAGGTATTCAGAGAAAGCCTTGGTGAAAGAAAACAGCTGTCAATCCACTCAGCAAACTCTCTATCTCAGACAGTTCCAGAAGTCTCAGCTCCCAGGGGTAAACAGAAAGCTCCCCTAGTTAAATCCCACTCACTTCCATCGGGTTCAGAGCAACAAAGCCCGAAGCCTTACATGAGAAAATTTAAGACACCTTTAATGATTGCCGAAGAAAAATACAGACAACAAAGGGAAGAGCTTGAGAAACAGAGACAGGAGAATTCTTGCCACAGCACTGTCAAAACAGAAACCTACCACCAAAACATATCCGAGAAGGAGAAAGAAACAGCGTCACAAAAAGCAGCGGAGACAGTCCCCATACCCAGGAAGGATTTGGACTTGACTAAGAACAGGGCTGTGCTTGTAGGTGTGAGCTCTGACAGCCAACCCTGCACAGCCTCTGCATTGGCAGTTGCTACTGAGAGGCTCCAGCATGTTCTAGCAGCTTCAGAAGATAAGTGTACCATGAGAAAGGGAGGTATACAAAGCTCAAAGAACATGCAACAATCAAAATCAGCTTGTGAAATTAGCCAGAATTACAAGGAATGTAAGACACAACAAACACATATGGAGACGTTGCCCTTTCCCCAAAGCAAATCAAATTTCCCAAGTATCAAAGTGAAAACTATCAAGCTCCCGACACGAGATCATACATCGACTGAAATAGATCGCAGTTCTGAAAGTCACATAAAGCAATCTGAAGTTGACGCCCAAACCATCACTAAACAAATGAATCAGGAAATCAAGAAAACCCAAGCAAAGACACGGTTTGATGATAAGCAATCTGTGCCTGAAAAATCTTTTCCATTACCTAAAATGGAGAAAACGGTGACAATACAAATGCCTGAAGAATCTTCCGGGAAAAATCACAAGAGTAAACTCAAAACACCTCCCAAGAAGCAGAGGGGATTTGGGGAGCTTGACGGAGGAAATGTCCTAGGGCGTGAAGAAAGTCGTCAGGACTCATGCATGAGCAGTTCCAAAGAGGACAGATTAACAGACAGAAAGCAAGAGCATCTGCAGGACCAGAGAGTACCGAGGGTAGTCCAACAAACGATTTTTGATGCATGCCTAGACACACGGACTCAGAATTTTCAGCAAACACAAATACAAACATCTGGAAGTACAGTTGAGCACAAAAAACTGCCTGATATGACAGAGAAAAAATGTCTTAGAGACCAGGGAATTCAACAGACCCATGTCACTCTTAACACTGAGCATTCAAAGCAAGAGATGATGCAGCACAAGTCTCCATTTTCCTCTGTGAAAGAATCCCAGCAGAATGATGGGAAAGGTGCCATAAATATATTGGAATTCTTGAGGAAACGTGAAGAACTACAGCAGATTTTGTCTAGAGTAAAACAGTTCGAAGCAGAGTCAAATAAAAGTGGCCTTCAAACATTTCAGACACTGTTAAATATTGTTCCGGTATGGCTGATAAGTGAAGAAAAAAGAGACTATGGAGTTCGTGTTGCCATGGAGAATAATTTAGAAAAAGTCAAAGAAGAAATAACACATATTAAAACCCAAGCAGAGGATATGCTTGCGCACTGTGAACATGTAATTCAAACAGCCATGATGGCCGCCCAAACAGGAAAGCAGAGAGATAAGCCTACCCATCTTAATGAAATGTCACTGAAAGTGTCTAACGTCAATGCCAGCTCGAATAAATGCACTGAGCAGCGAGAAAATAAAATTGGAGAAGAAAAATCATCACACCGCCAAGTAGCAATGACCCATGGCCCTGCTGAGACACATCAGGAGCCTAAGGGAGATTATAAGGAGACACATCAGGAGCCTAAGGGAGATTATAAGATTGCTCCTCCCTCTCTGAAAACTCGTCCACCGTCACCAACGTTCATTACAATAGAGTCCACTGCCCGCCGAGCCGAAACCTCCACCAAGAGTGAGCTTTCTCAGTCCCCTAAAAAGAACAATTGTGCTGAACCTCCACCTAGAAGACCCACAGAGCAAACACCTAGACTTCCCAGAACAGGCACCTCCCCGTCGTCCCCACCAAGGAGCCGCTCTGAACAACTCGTTAGACTCAAAGACACCACGGCCAAGTTAGCCAGAGGTAGCATCCCATGCTCGCCAGGGACCCCAGTTCCGATGGCAGAGAAGAGATCAGAAGTGATCGTGTCTCCAGCCACACTTCGCAGGCAAATTAAGATAGAAAGTCATGCCAGGGACTCTCCACCAGCTGTCACGATACCTGTCAATGTGAACCACGTCATGAGTGGTTCCTTCCGAGAATCTGTAGCAGCTCAAGAGGAAAGGAGAGAAATACAGAAAAAGGAGACGTATGTTCATAAAGATGAAATGAATTCAATCGACAGCACAATGCCAGAAATAGAAAGCTATGATGCAGTCGAAATCATCCGCAAGGTGCAAGGGCCTCGCCTATCAGAACACACAGAGAGATTTGAAGCAGCTACCAATCAAACGGTTCAAATGGCTGAACGTTTTCTGAATGGCCATGAAAATGAAATGCACAGATGGTTTAGGGAATTTGAGAATGACCCAGTTTTTGGAGCAAAGACGGATAGAAGAGCTTATGCAAACGGTGAAGTAAACCGCAACATGAAACAAGAGAGTCACACATTTTGTAAGGAGGAGTTTGGATTAGCATCTTCTGGAAATGCTAACTTTCCAGGCTTTTCCTACAGACATCCTAGAGAGTACCAAGAAACAGTTTCTGCAATGCAGCCCAGGGTTCACTCTGAAGCAAGGTCTCTCAGTGAGCACTTCTTAGGCATAGACGCATTTGACAGTCAGATCATTGGGTCAAAGGTAGCAACCTCATCGACACGTAGCTCGGATGCAGGCAGGTCTGGCTTTGACATCAGGCATGCTCCACCAACCTATGAAGACGTGATTGCTGGCCACATCCTAGACCTTGCGGATTCACCTCCAAATCATAGAAGAGATTTTCAGAAGACGTGGCAGGAGAGTGAAAGGATTTTTGAGCACTTGGGCTATGAAACCTCCAACGCACATGCAACTGAAATGAGCCGGGCCTTCCAGGAGGAATCTGCCTTTATACGTGGTAAATGAGATTGAAGAGTATGAAAGAAGATTAACACATTTGAAAGCATGCGTGTCAATGTCAAATAATATTTGCAATTAAACAGTGTGTGGAAATAACCCAGGAACAAGCTAGGACTAACGGCAAACCCTACGGGCTTGTGATTCTTTGCTATCCTTGCTTTCTACTTCCTTACTTAACAATAACATTTAAAATGACTAACTTGCAGAATGCATTACGGAAACCTGTTCTTCAAACTCAAGTTAAATAGGAGTTTAAAGAAAGCATCAGATGTAACAACTGCTGGGGTGGTTTTAGCAGTGGTGGAACTATTTGTTTGCTATAAAACAAACTCGTTAATAAAATTTAATAATAAGATTTACTTCATTCAATAGTTTATGGTGGTACCATATCAAAACCTTTGACATATTTTAACTGTGTGCTTAAATAGCCTCAACACACCTTAGTAAAAGCCTCAGACAGAACTCACAGTATGCATGTGTGCTGTAAGTATTTTCATCAGCATGTTAAAGATGTAGATGTAACGTTAGACATTTTATACATTTAGCTATTGTAATTGAATTGAGGTGATAACACACCCAGATCCCAATGTTTTCTGTAACGATTATTTTCATCTTTATGAACATTAAGCCTAAATGACAATTCCATTGACCTAATTCATAGACGAGGATAAGTAATATGCTTTAAGACTTGATTATGTTTGTAAGATAAGAGATTTAAATCATAAGAACATCATATTTTTAATATCACAAGACAACTCATTCAATTGTACATCCCATGCTTTTTACAGTAATGAGGGTTATGGTAAAAGGATGGGACACAATGCATCTGCCACGTTAATGCAGTCTATTCTTTTGGACAGCTTCAAAGAAACGGCAAACTTCAAAATAAAAACCTGCTGAAATTAGTAATTACGCCTCTCATATTTACAACATATGTGTCTAGTTTATCAAGTTAATATGGTTTCTTTAATGTGCTTGCTTCTGGCATAATTAAGCAAAGCTGTCTAATTAATTTCAAATGCTCAGTTTTTGCTAAGACAGTTCAAAACCATAGAAAACACAAAGAAGCTGGCGTGAAACATAGAAAGATGTCCCTAGTCAAGTGAAAGAGTCAAAGGAGTCCTCTCAATCACGGAGAGGCAGAGCGTAAGCACAAACGTGGCTTTTGTACGAAGGGCCTCGACATAATTGCTTTCATAGGTGACAAATCCAAAAGGTTGGTTATTGTCGGAAGAGTATAGTGAAAGTCAAAACCAATATTTAATTGATGTGTCTGTGTCCAGGGTAAGCCACTAGAGGACCCTGATTAGTGATGTAACTAATGACTGTTATTTATAAAGACTACCCTTCATATGGGAGCAGTGGGGAGCAGCTGCAGGTAGTAAGTGAGATAATCAATTGTAAAAAAACAAAACAAAACAAAACAAAACAGAAAGGGTAGATGTAAGGATCCTAAAGGCCGTAAAGTCTAAAGTCAGTTAGGAAAAGAGGAGAGGTCCTCCTTGACATTACATGATGGGAGAGTATTATTACAAGGAAGTAAACTGCTGGCGTCACGAAGTAAACCTGATATTATTGAGATAATATTTAATCAAATACTATACAATGCCTTGGCTCATAAAAATCTGAATGCACTTTAGAATGATTGATCCATAATACGGTTTTAGAAATAAAAGTTTCATATAAAACTTTATATGTATGGAAAGTCTAGTTGCTTCAAATGATAAATTTTCTTAAAGTTCCCCATGACTGAGTTTACTGTATATATTTAATGTATTCATGTAAGTAAGCATAATACATACTTATGTGTTTATAAATAATAGTCCAATTTCCACAAGGTATAATGGTAGAGGCGTTAAATCTTTGTACCAGATCCTCAAACTTCTGTGCTATTGCACACTGTCCAGAGAACAAGACATAAAGACAATTTCCAAGGATTTTTCACTTTATCTGCATGGCCTGTTTATCTATTATTTGTTTTCCTCTGTTATTGCAATTGTGATGGAAAATAGAAACATATAAGCCTTTATAAATTTTTACTTTTAGAAACTGCTGGTCCAAGACAAGGAAATCTGCGTAATCTGTCAAAAGACAGTTTATCCAATGGAATGCCTCGTAGCAGACAAGCAGAATTTTCATAAATCTTGTTTCAGATGCCATCACTGCAGCAGTAAACTGAGGTAACAATGTCATGTTGAGTGTGCCACATGGGCTGAAGAAGCTAGGAGCCTAGTACAACAGCTAATCTCTAGAGAGAAGTAGAATTCTCCAGATCTCACAGCTGCCCTCAGTGGCTACCATCGCACAGGGGGCTGTGACCCTATTCTACTGTGCATTGCCCAGGCTGATGCTCAATACTTCCCTTTCACAAGCTACCTTTCTAGTTGTGGGAATGGGGTGGGTCAGAAAGCGTCCTGAGTACCTGTGAAGCCAGGCTTTTTAAGTTGGTCATGTGCCTGAATGCATTAGCTCTAGATTACAAGCTGGTAAACTCTTTCTGTAAAGGGCAGATAATAAATATTGGAATTGGCAGGCCATTCTGTTCCCATCAGGACTCATGTTTCCTTGGACCCCAAGAATGACTGGCTAGAGAGAGCAGGTGGGTGTGGCTATGAATAGGCTTAGATACATTCCGGGGAAACTTTGTATCCCAGAGCAGAGGATGGTGCAGAGCTTGTCTGTTTGAGCTACGGTGTATAAGTTAAGAAATGGAGTTGGGAATAGTGTTAGTGACAGGTCAGGCAAAAGCTGTTTATTTCTGAAGCAAAGGCCACATGCTAATCAACACAGTGGCATGAGCTTTCCTTTTCCACCTCTCAAAGGAGATGCATCTAAATGAACGTGACATTTGGTAAGGCCATAGTTTGAAATGCTGAAATGGAATTTATTTTGCTGAATCTAATGTGCACCTCTCAGGCTATCACTTCCCCGACTCTAATTGGCAGTGTCAAATATTCCTCGGTGCAACATTATTGTCCCTTGGTTTCCATGACAATATGACATAATGATTCCCCTCGATTTCCAGGGTGCTCCTTCTCAGGCACCTGTGTGGGTGACTCTTTTTCCTGACCATCAGCGAGATGCTGGAGCTCCTCAGAAGCCCACAAGTTTGGATATACTCTTCTCATTGTTTCTGTTTCCTTCTGGTGAATGAGTCAGTCACACACGACCCTGTAACTTCCGTGTGGGGGTGACTCTGAATTGTGCACTGCTGGGCCAGATTGGACTTTTGCTCATTAAATACTTATTTCCAATCATCAAGGCCCCTGTAAGCATAACGACATCAGTAGGACTCTTTTACTCTTCTCGTTGTTTCCATGCATTCTCTGAGTGTAGCTCCTATCCCTCTGTATCAGTAAGCGACACGAACATTCACTGTGGCCTAGTCGTGAAGCTATCTTTCTTTCAATTATTCTTTCACTCCATTTCAGCCACTACCCACTTTTTTCAATTTCAGAATTCAGAATTTTCCCCTTAAGCTGTGCATTTTTCACCATCCTCATAGCTCAACCTTCGTTCCAGCATATATTGTTTCTCATTTGGGCAAACGCCACACCCATTGTAGCTAGTGTGGTCTTCCTGTGTTCACATCTCTTAGCAGTACCACTATCAACAATCCGTTCTAAGACTGCATTCTACAGTGTTGTAAAATGATCTTTCTGAAACACAAATATGAAACACCTTCTCTGTTTAAAGCGTAGACCAGCTTCCCCAGTGCATTAAAAATATCTGTCATTAAAACATTAATCAACCTGCGGTTCAAATGTAGCCCTTATTTCTCCCCAATTCTTCAAGCATCCCCAGTCCTTTTCAGTTATAGGTTACGCTCCATGCAGAATTACCTCTTTCTATTTCTAATAAAAGATATATTTTTCTCTCTCACACTTCCAGCTAATGTCAGATGTCATCCCTACTCCTTCTAGGAGTTTTTAAACACACATCTTCCAGATCTCTACCAGTTCAACGTCCACTCATTCTTCAGACCTCAACTAAGACTATCTCATTCATGAACCTTTTTGTTATTTTAACTTTTTGGCTTGCACAGAGAGGTCAGACATCCTTCTCAATCATTCTTCAAAGCATCCCCTGCACTTTCCCCACCATCAACCTGAGCTACTATAATCATCATTGACATTAACTGTGGTAATGTTTGCTTTCTCAACACCTAGTCAGGGCTGACATATAATAAAGAGTCAAAATTACATATCAAATACTGGTACTTTTAAGTGATGGATCAAAAATACAAAGAAAGTCAAAGGAGCGAAATGCACGATACAATAAATCATTAGAGCATGAACACTTTGTAACCACTAATCAACCTAAAGAACTTTGCTGGCCATATTGGAAGAGCCTTTTATGTATTCTATTTTAAACACAATCTCCACTCATTCCCATGAGTAAAAGTATCCATTTTAATTATCATGTATTTTCCTTTAATTGTTGCTGCTCTTGTATACATTTATAGTGCTGTATCTTATTTTTATATTTTGTTGTGTTTTGTAAATTCTTTTTTAATCCTTAAGCTTCCCTTGCATTCCCTTTCTGCTTCACCATCTATTTTGCTAAGAGCACAGGATATTTGGCCTGTAGAATGTTCTGGTCTCAAGTTGCTGATTGCACACTCACCAAGTAATTCAAAGCTCTCATTGTCCTGGATACTTCTAAATTGTCAGATAGGGCATGATTTTGAATTAGACCTGCAGGTGTACACTATTCCTGGTCATGTGACCCTTTTTTCGGGGAAATAGTGGAGTCCTCATAAACTTACTAATCACGACTGGGAAGGAACAGTTGATTGACCTCAATAAAATACATTGACTGGGGTTCACCCTTCTTTCACCTGGTTAGAGGAATCTCTTCTCTTTCCATTGTCTGCTGAGTAAGTACCTTTTCCATGACCTAAGTAAACTTTAGGAACTTCATTACTTGATAACTGCAGGGTGTCTTTCCATTCCCCGTGCAAGTCCTGGTCCCATCATTTCTGCAAGTCTTCCTTACTCTAGCAACATGTGCTACTTCAAGTCCAACCCACTTGATGTCCATTCTAATTTTGTTTCAGATTTTTGTTTCTAAGCCATTTTGGGTAGATGAACTAATAGATATTTACATATATTATACACTCTAAATTCAATGATAATTTCAATCAGATTCCAAACTTATCTATGTAGCTGCTTCCCTTCTAGGTCTCTATGTCTTTTTCTCTGTCCCTCAAACATAAAGAAGATGACAACTAAGCTGCTTTGAGGCTGAGATATTACAATAACTTTAAGATGTCTTTGAGCAACCTAATGACACCCTATGTGATAATAAAATGTAAAAAGTGTGGATGGGATACCTCTTAATATCAGAGCATCTGTGTAGCGATTGCATGGGCCTAGATCCAGTGCCAAGTAGTATAAAAAATATAACAGACTTAGAATATCTTGTATTCACTCATCTTAATAACAGCCTTGGATTGGAACTGAGGCTCTAGGTGGGGGGATAGTTTGTGAAGCACACACAAGGCCCCAGGTTTAAACCAGAGCACTGCATCAGACAAGAACAGTAGTGCAAGCCTTTGATTCCAACACTAGCTTCAAAGTCACCCACAACTATGTAGTGTGAACATAGTGTGCCCTTAATGCCAAGTCCAGTAGACCTGGCACCCTCTTCTGGCCTCCTCCTGTACCAGGTACTCAAATAATGAACAGACATACATACAACAGTCAAATGACACAAAAAGCTTAAAGTCATCTAATAACAAAAACTAATGATAGTACCAATCAATGAACCAAAATTTTATAAAATTTATATTTGATTTAACTTACCCACCCATTTCTAAATAAGTTACTGTATTATCCATGCCAGATCCGTTTGACACTGCATTGTGCCCTGTTCCCCTCTCTGCCCCCTTAACCATTCATTTTATCTTCCAGGTATCATGGCATTAGTGTCTAGTGCTGAGGTTCTTCTTTAGATATTCTGGTTATTCAAGCTTATTTTCTACGAGACTATTTAGAACTTGAATTTGTGGTGGCAGTATTCCTTAAATTCTACTACGCTGGTAATATTTACTCTGTGTTCTTCATGTGTGCCATCACAGCCGACAACACGAAGAATTCTTTTTCTCTGTACTTTTTATTAAAAGTTTGGTAGTTTCAGCATAACAGTTCTTGGCACTGGTCATTCTAGGTCTGGACTATATCTAGTGTCAGAAGTCGCTGAGTCGGCACAGGTTTAGGCCCATTGGTCTAATGGATGGACTGTGCCTGAGCACACCTACTATATCCTTGGTGATATGCAGCATGAAATTCTGAATACTGAAAGGCACACATCACAGTGGGGATTGGTGGTAATTCGCCTAACTGGAATTTTAATTAACAGTGCCGTTCCTCTGGGTGGTAAGGGGGTTCCTGATTTTCTGACTCATTACTAAAATAATTCTGCAATTCTCCATAAATGTATAGTAAGTATACAGAACCCTCAATATTATGTCTTTTCTTTTGGCAGTTTGGGAAATTACGCATCACTTCGTGGACAAATATACTGCAAGCCCCACTTTCAACAACTTTTTAAGTCTAAAGGAAATTATGATGAAGGTTTTGGACACAGACAGCATAAAGATCGATGGAATTGCAAAAACCAAAGCAGCTTAGTTGATTTAATTCCCACTGAAGAACCCAGTGTGTGTGAAAACCCTGCAGCAGATACCCTCTTGTCTGGGGATCTTACTAAACATGCAGAGGTTTGTAACAGCGAGTGGCAAAACGATGATTTGAGGAAATGGGGGGAGAGAGGAAAATTAAAAATTGTTTGGCCTCCTTGCCAGGAGATGCCTAAGAAAAGCTCTCCCCGTGAGGAAGAACTCAAAGTGAGTAAGCCTAAATGGCCACCTCACGTGACAATCCCTGTTCCCTCCGAATTTAAAAGGGAGTCGCCGACAGAGCACGTAAAAATCATGGAGAATCAAGGGGAAGAGCCAGAGAGCTTCCCTGTCCTACAACCGTGTCAGCACCACGCGTGTCAGAAAGAGGACATTGGGGTAGTCCAAGAAATAAAAGTGTATGAAGCAAGAAAAGAGGAGAAAGAGGGAAAGAGAAATGCGCAAGATAAGCTGGATGAAGCTGAGGGTGTAGCAAACAAGAGAAAAAGCGGGATGGATCTTTACGACAGTCACCTGTATGTGCAGAGCGACGCAAAGGAGAAGGATGGACATGCTAATGAACCTGATGGCGCAGAGGCTTTACAAGTTACAAACCCTGGTGCTGACGTGGGACCAGAGACCCACAGACAGAACTTCAATAACAACAACAATAACAATTCGGTAGCTGTCCCCTCTCTGAAGAACGGCAGGCAGGAGAAACCTGTTTTAGAACGTCCTCATCTAGTGCCGTCGGCCAGTGAAGCAAACAGCTACTACGCAAGTGAATATCAAAACAAGAAGTTAAAACAGACATCTAGGATCTCAGAGTTACTTGGTATCTTTGAATCCGAAAAGTCGTCCTCCAAGAAGGTCCTAGCCATGGCTCTGGAGAAAAGGGCTGACGGAGTGACTGCAGGCAGTCCTGAGCAGTTCGCTCCGGAGCCAGGCTTCCGGCAGGGCTCATCAGTTAAAGAGGAAAGCCGTGCAGCCTCTCCTGATAACAACCTCTTACCCATGAAAGGAAACCATGAAAATAACAAAAACGTACACCTTTTCTTTTCTAACACCGTGAAAGTCTCTTCTTTTTCCAAGAATCATCACACCCTTGGGTGTGATTTCATAGATTCTGTTGATCAACTCAAAAGTATGTCACGCTTGTATTTAAGAGAACTTGGAAACGATGTCAAATCCTGGCATGGGGAAACTACAGGAGCAGCTTGGAGTGATGGGAGAACGGGTTTTGATGCTGCAAGCCCAGGGTGTGCGGCTAAGCCTGTGGTTCCCAGAGTGCAGTGCCAGGCTGAACATCTGACCGTGGAAGAGCTGATTAAAAGGGACAGGTGTTACAGTACCAGCGATGCTGACTGAGACTTCTCTGGCCACTTGTGGTTCCTACACAAGCACGGAGAGATGTTCTCAGATAAGATCTCGGGATCATGACTCACTTAGGATTGCAACGATCATGTCTCATAATTTCATATTTCCTGTATCGCACTCCATAATTCTTCTCCACTATTCATTTGAGTCTGGTTTGGATCTGAACGGCATGCTGAGGTGAAACAAGGTAGCCATGGTTTCTTCCTCAAATGGCCCAGGCGCTACTTGTTTCTATACTGTATAGTGTGCGTGAGGGGTCTGTATTGCTGGCGGTTGTTGCCATTCTTGCACCTTCTCCATAATTTCAGATGAAATAAAATTGAATCACCTGAGATACAAACGCCTATAAACCTGTGTTTTCTTTCTGTGCTGTATATTGCTGTTATGGTTTCCAACATTTGAGAAATACTTAGGAGGAGGGGGATGGTCACTCATGCCTTTATTACCAGCCCTGAGTGTGGGAGTCTTCTGTTTTGTGTTGATTTCATTGGTTAAATAAAGAGACTGCCTTGGCCCTTTAATAGGACAGGAAATTAGGTAGGCAGAGTAAACAGACAGAATGCTGGGAGAAAGAAGCCGTGTCAGTCAGTCGCCATGATTCTCCCACTCCAGACAGACGCAGGTTAAGATCTTTCCTGGTAAGCCAGCTCGTGGTGCTACACAGAATGTTAGAAATGGGTTAGATTCAATATGTAAGAGCTAGCCAATAAGAGGTTAAAACTAATGGGCCAAGCAGTGTTTAAAAGAATACAGTTTCCGTGTAATTATTTCGGGTAAAGCTAGCCAGGTGGCGGAAAGCAGCCCCGCCGCTCCTCACTACACCTGAGGAAGTAGAGGCAGGCATAGCTCTGTAGATAAAGCACTCAACGTGCAGAAATGAGGACTGGAATTCAGATTTCCAAGCACCCTAAGAATGTTAGGAGCTGCACCAGTAAATTCTCATCAAGGAAGCTGCCTGAACACAAGGGGAGGAAGATGACTCCCAGACATGTCCATATGGGGATGGGAAAGTTAATGAGGCCTCCGCCACACATAGAGCTACAGACAACAGCTTCCTTGGGGAAGAGAACAATTGGTTACCCATACCAAGTAGTCAGACCTAGAAACTGTCATATAAACTATGTATATAATACTGTATTTAGGAATACGTACATACATACATACACACACACATACAATTTTTGGAGGAGCACATATCTCTTGTCTTCCTACCTCAAAACATAATGTTAAAAAAGATAAACCAAACCTATAGTTAACAGGAAATAAAAAAATTTCCATTAGTCAATTGTTTAAAGATATAGAGGTTGTTCTAATAATTACCTAAAATATCATAGAATATACCTAAAAAGATTCAGAGGAAGTTTTGAATTTTCCTCCAAAATAATGTGGACTGCATACTCAGAAACCAAATCAGCTGAAAATTTTTAAGAAAATTATGTAATGAAATTCTACACATTTGTATGTTTTTGCTTCCTCTAAGGCTATGTTATTGTAAAGATGTAAGTCTACAACTTCTCATGCTTTTAAAAGTCATATTTGATGAGTTTTTTCCTGTTATACGAACATCCTTTTGAAAATTTGGCTTCTAAATTATCTGCTGATTTTGCCTTTCCTCAAATACATCTGATGATCCTGAGAAAAAAAAAATAGCACGAATATAAATGAGTGGCTTCACATAAATTTGGAACGTACATGTATGAAACAGACCTTATCCCATATTCTCCCACATAAACACAACCGTTGATTTTCTATAAATATGAAACCAAAAGGCAGTCTTGGAAATAATATCTTTTTTGGAAAATGTAACAAACTCCCTCTTGCAAGTAATTTCTCAGCCACAATCTGAGAAAGACCTACAAAGCACTAGTTCCATGAGGCCTCCACGGCAAAGTGCCATAGATTGGGGACTGCATTCTTTTAAAGCAGAATTAAAGTTTATTTTGAAAAATATTAATCTTAGAAATAAACAAAAAGAAATACTCTCAGAAAGAAAGTAAGGCATACTTTACAAGTTGGGCATGGGCTTCTTAAAACTTTCCAAGACTGAGGATTTTAACTAACAAAATCTTACTTCCTCACAGTTTTGTAGAGGGTAAGCTCAAGGTCTGGGAGGAGATACAGAGGTATGGCTCTCCTCCAGGACTTTCTCCTTCGCTTGCTGGTACCTGTCTACCTCACTGTGGTTCCTACATTATCTTCTCTCTGCACATTTACACCACAGAGGACTTTTGTTCTTCTCATGAAACATCAAGTCTCCTTGGATTAGGAACCACCTATCTTACTTCATGTAGCCTTTACTAAACCTTTAAAGCCTTATTTCCAAATACAGTCACTCTGGGTGTTAGATTAGGCCTTCAACAAATCAATTTTATGAGGCTATAATTAGAATCATAACACACATTTCTATCCAATTTGATAAAATGCTATGAAATTCTGCCAACTACATGGTAAACTATGGGGCAAGCACAAAAATTTAAATTGAATTATTTTACTTTTCATTGTTCTTCATAAATTCTTAATAATACAGCATTATTTCTATAATCATTTATGCTAAGATACCACAAAAGTTTCTAAGAAGAAGAAATAATTTACAAAAACTCATGACTTTATATTTTGAAATATAGATACTTAACAACAGTGATCCTTATAAAAACAGAGTTCACTATTTACAAAAGTCCTCTTATGGGACTTCCCCCAGTTTATCTTGGTAGCAGAGGAGTTTTTCTATGCTTACATTAAAGTCTAACATTAAAATAGGCTAATATCTACATCCCTGAAACTGTTAACTCTTCTGTTTATTTTTCACGCAAATGCTGCGATGGCTAAAGTTGTATTTTAAGATTAAATTACTCTGATATAGAGATCTATAAGACAAAAGTCTCAAACCTGTAAGCCCCACTTGCCCAAGGACAGATCATTTCCTGGAATACTGAGGAGTGCTGTTCATGCAAGATAACAAGCTGTGTGATTTCACTTCTATAAATAAGCATAGTGGCACCAATTTCACAGAATGTGCTTGGTCACATGTAGGGGGAGGTATGTGGGCAGGAATTATATCAGGATACCTGCTTGCCCCTGACTGGATGAACATGAGAAATACAGAGCCTTGAAGAGTCTGTCTTTATAAGCCCCTGTCTAATGTAATTCAGTGCCGTGCTCTGAGAATCCCAGTTACGGGCCTGGCCAGTATCCATGGTCCTGGTATTTAAGAAAGCTTCCTTCAAATTTGGCTCAAAAATTGTGGTAATAGTCTTATTCTTGCCCAGTGGGATTAACAATACCAAAGCATTTTTAGAAAAGCACTCCTAAATTTGAAATGACACCTTATTATTATTGCTTGTTATGCTGTCTTTCCTGGATTATACACAGAAATTTCCAAAAATTCAAATAGCTTTAACAAGCCAAATATAGTTTTATTACTAATGAGATCATCTTTATTATGACAAAACCTTTCAGCTAAATATCAAGCTTAGTAACTAAACAAAAAGATTCAGAAGCTTTTTTCCCATTGTTATAGGGAGTATATTATATTGTTTTGGCTGTCAAAATAAAATACCACAGACTGAATGACTAAAACAAAATAAATGCATTCAATTCTGAAGGCTTGAAATGGGCAAGATCAAGTTGTCTATAAACGTGGTCTCTATTAGGGCCACATTCTTCAAGTCTTTGCTTGGTTTCACCTTGTATGTATCTGTGTCAAACTTTGTTGCCCATGGTCAGGGTAGAGTCAGGTATTTCCAGAATCTTGCCTCTTGTCCAGAGAAAACAATGACTCACGAAGATTTACCAAAGTAGAGAGATGACTTTATTAGAAGCAGAGCAGAGGTACAAGCTAAAGAGTAATAACTGTCAAGAGTGGTATGAGTAGGTATTCTCTAGGGTCCTAAGCTACAGCCCGTGGCCTTATTTTTATGGAGTATAAAAGAAGGAGATGGAGTAACTCTTGGGAGGAAGCAACAGTATGGAATGATTTGCTCTTTGGAGCAGATCAAAAAGCCATGCCTCTAACTCAGAGACATATTTATTTATTTATTTATTTATTTATTTATTTAAGATTTCTGTCTCCTCTCCGTCACCGCCTCCCATTTCCCTCCCCCTCCCCCAACCAACTCCCTCCCCCTCCCCCAACCAACTCACCCTCTCTCATCAGCCGAAGAGCAGTCAGGGTTCCCTGCCCTGTGGGGAGTCCAAAGACCTCCCACCTCCTTCCAGGTCTAGTAAGGTGAACATCCAAACAGCCTAGGCTCCCACACTTCACTTTTACTACTCTTTACATTTTTCCATCAAAAAAGATGTGCAGAGACATCTTTTTTGATGGAAAAATGTAAAGAGTAGTAAAAGTGAAGTTTTCCTTTCTTATGTTACCAGAAAAATGAGAGATGAGGTCAAAGCAAGCTATAACAGGGCTTCTAAAGTTACTAATGCCTGTCAACCTACCTAAAACTATGGGTTAAAACATAATCATATAACTTTTATTTTCTTTTCCTTCTCTCTCTCTCTCTCTCTCTCTCTCTCTCTCTCTCTCTGTGTGTGTGTGTGTGTGTGTGTGTGTGTGTAGAGAGAGAGAGAGAGTCCATTTAGTGTTGCTCATACTTCCAAGTGTTTAGAGCTAACCACGTGGGACAGAATAACCTATAGGGGGCGCAAAGCTGGAGAAAACTGATTCTCCCTCTGTCAGCAGCTGTTGATCTGATCACCTGAAGGTCTTCATCTACACATGGGGCTTTGTCAAAGTTCCTTTAGCTTTCATTGCCATGAATTGGGGAGGGGTCATGGGAAGAGTGGGAATAGAAGAGAGAGGACTGGAAACAATAAAACATATAGTACTTATGTGTGAAATTCTTTTAAAGGGTAAGTCACAAGAAATATTACATGTGAATCTCAGAATGACACATTTGTGTCCCGTAACTGATAGCTTTTAAATATGTAACCATTAGCATTATGAAATAATTTTTAATAGTCATTAATTTAGGATTTAAATCACAGAATTATGTAAAGGAGAGTTATGCTTTGAAATTAGTTTTTTTGGCAACACAATTCTTTTATCGAGGTAGACTCAGGAAAGATAGACCAATGACTATGTAGAGGAGAATACGCAGGAAGATTTGGAGGGTGAGGAGCTTCATGTTATTTATTCATGACATGGCCTCCCAATGACTCTTGTAAAAAAAATGTTCCATCTCCCGGAAAATTGTGCTGAATTGTCTTTTGCAGCTTTCACGCAATCAATCCTTGTGACAGATTTGGGTTCCAGGCAGCACATTCTCTGGGTTGGGACAATGGTTTCCTCACAATGCAGTGAAACCGAAGAATGCAAACAGACCACCCA